TTTTTGATTTCTGCTTTAGATTGGTTGCTGAAGAACGCTGCAGCCCAGATAGCTCATATTCCTGACCGCAATTTGCCTACTTCGGCGAGATTGAATCAGATAAAGAACTCATTGTATATAAGAGGTTGGCTGAGTCGTGATGTTGGCATTTTGGAGTTGCAAGCTGTGGCGCGGGGCAGTCTATTGCTACCCTTCCTAAATGAACTCAGCTAACATGAGAAAACAAAGGTGTTCACTTAATATATATATATATATATCTAAGCGTTGGTTTCAATAGCCTTGTCTCAATCAAATCCTTTCAGACTGAGAAAAATGAGTTGCTGCATACCAAAGTTTTTATCGATGTTTTTATGTCCTATTGTATAGGTGTGTATCTCTAAATCGTAGATACATTGGTACATCATAGCCCTATTGGAGAGACTAACGGCTGGTATGAGATGCTGCGCTTATCTTCCAACCACTTACACACGAATAGAAACATGGATGGGTCGGCACTGACTACTCCCTAGCAATACTGAACGTTTTGAGTAATTTATAGCATTCGTGTCTATTTAGCCCCCAGCCGAGGTTCTATCAACATTGGTTAATTTAGGAGACAGGTAGTACCTAAATTAGCCCCCGTGTGATCACATACAATATATACCTTGGTTAGGTATCTAGTAGAGATAGAAGGTTAGTAACCGCTAATCATCAATTGATCGATTATTTGCGCATCTACCTTGACAGCCCGATCACTGAAAATTTTGATCACCATTTCCCAAGTCTCAAGTTAAGTAGTGGGGGGGTGTCGCAGAAAGTTTGAAAGTCGGCGAATGATACTGGTAATAGAAGCTGAGCCCAGGCCAGGATGCAACGTGGACACAGTTGACGCTGCATGTCTAAACTAGGCTCTATCTCTCAGTAATCGACGTCCCTGATAGGATATGATGATACACAAATCTTACGCCATCATGTCATCACCTAATTCTCTGCTGATAAAACATTACGTGCTTGTGCGACAAGGTCCGGTTGATTTTGACTGATTGCATCGAGACTTTTTGGATAGAAATGGCTCTCAGTCGGTCTGACCGAGGGGAACACAAAAGGTGCCGCCAGCATGTAATAATTTAAACTCAATACCCCTCCCAAACTGCCTAAAAGCCTTGTCTCGAACTTGTTTAGGTTACATGCTATCCTCTCGATGGCATCGGCACAAATACCCCATAGACTCATTCGACTTTCGTACTGATAATTCGAGGTTAAGAATGATAATACCAATAGCGCAGCCAAGACATTCAGATTCCAGCTACCATTGTGGACGAGCTGTTAGACAACATTTGAAGTTGAAGGACCTATTAGGATTTGATGAGTGATAGGAGAACTAAAAAGAACCAGGGATGCCAAGAGCCAAGACCCTCTCATAATCTTTGCGGATGAACTCATTAAGGTAGTCCGGAAGATTGTACCTAGGTACATTTGCTTAGCCTGCTTAAATTTTCAATATCATGTGATACTCCTATAATAAATCTCATTAAATCTATTCTTGATGAACTCTTTCTTTGACTGTTGCGTCACCTTCGTACTATCTATCATATTATCGGCTATGACTTTAATGATGGTGATGACGACGACGACGAAAAGCTGTCGAAGAAAACCCCTTGCATTTCCCGGGAAAACAAGAGAAAATTGAATTACAGAAGTCAACCCTACCTACCTATAGGTACCTTGTATGATGCCGTAGTACAAGAGTCCATTTGTGCAACTTTGGTCTCGTGTCCCAATAGACGAGACAGGATACCTACCGCGACCAATGTATCACGAGAAATTCAGCTCACAAACCTGCGACGGTTGATTCTCTCTTTTTTTCTTCCTTCATTTTGGTAGTATCGTATTGTGTGGCTCCAATTAATACATGTTCGTGATACGCCCACAGTCGTGTCACCCTGCCATTAAAGGAAAGTTGTCGCGGGACTTTGGAGTTTTTTTTTCCCTCTTCGATATGCTCCACCTCATTTCCCCCACGCCGATGGAATTGTCCGGACTTTGAGTTTATTTGGAATATATGGGTAGATGCTCATATTTAAAGGTTTGAGATTGGTTAGAAAGCGGACCTAGATATATGAATAATATGAATAGAGAAGATTCTCATATCTCATCAAGATCAAGTAGGTACCTAGTCAACACTCATTGCTCCGGATGGCCAAAAAGCCGGACATTCCATGTTTTAAAGTGGGCGTAAATATGAACCCCCAGTGGCACCATCTAAGATTCTCAGCATTGAGATGTTAGGTACGAGTTTCTCGTAGAGCTACCTCACTGATAATAATTGTCATCTTATACTCAGTCACGGTGGAAATAACGTCGGTCTTGGTAAGATCTCATCCCGGAGTTAAGTTACCGCATATGTCCTTGAGGTAAGCAGATATGGAGAACGTGGCGAGATAGTCCACTAGGTTAGGGGATGAGCCCGCGATTATTAATATTCCTTGCCCTAGCTGGGCCACGCATATGGGCCGTTGAAGATAGGGGATGTCGAATGATGGTAGGCTGATTATGCGTGGTAGCCAGTCTACAGCTATAGTATTAAGTTAACCAGATACAAGTTCTCATATGCCTGTATATATGTAGTAGCACTGTCTAGACACCTATCGCGGAGAAGGGGGTGAGGAATAGCTGCTACCCGTCCATTGTTGGGACTAGAGTGATTCGAAAGTGCAAGTAGACTTCATGGTATCTATCATAGCCATATAGAGAGTCTTCTAGGTCGTGATAATGTTATAAGTAGGTAGGCAGTTTAACCCTAGCGATGAAGTGCTTCACTTCTCATCAACAATCATCCCCGCGAGGCAGGTAAAGCGCTTCTCAAGCCTAATCTCATGAGTGGATGTGTCAAGGATTCAGAGCCGTCTAAAAATCGTGAATTTCAAGGAGCACACCAAAGTCCTGAACTCTCACGATGAAATGGCATCCATTAGCCACCCCGTCCTCCTCTTCCCCTTCCACCACCTCGTCCGCCCTTGCCTCCTCTACCATTCCTCCCTCCCCTCTTGCCCTTCGCACCCCGTCCACCGCTCCCAATCCTCTCATACAATCTCTCCTCACCAAACGCCATCTCGCCGAACCTGACATAGCTAATCAAACCACCATCCACAACCGCTACTATTGCATTTCGCCAAGCATGCTTCAGGCGACGGTACAGCTGCCCCGGGCCCCCAGCTCCTCCGTTCTGGCCCTCCTTGGGCTGCTCCGGCGGGTCCCAGGGAGTGCACCGCTCCAAGAGCGCCGTCATCTGCTCCAGCGTGGGCACGGACGAGTTCCTTGCATCCACAACGGCAATACGGAAGTCGGGGGGTGGGGGCTTGGTTTTTGAGAAAGCCGTGCTGCTCTTCCATATGTGGTAGTGGATGTTGAATGGTTCTTCTGGCAGCAGAGTAGATGTCTTCAGTTGAGGAGTAGGTTCGTGTCGTGGGATTAGGGCAAGTTGAGCGAAGATCGAGTTGTAGGAGCGGTAGAGGCCTGGCTTGATGAGTGGACCATAGGGTGATGGCTGATTTTGGGATATCGTAGGGAAGAAGGAGAAGAGCCACTGCCAAAGAGACTGGGGCGGTTTTGCGGGTACTGAAAGAGGCAACGGCATTAGCGTTGCTCGCATGACTTTGTAGCCTGTTCTTCGGAGGTTGGCGTAGACTTGGTATTTCTCGATGGTGACCTTCCCTCTGTCGCCGTCCTTGCCGATGAGAAGAGAGTATGCTGCTTGTAAACTGAGAGGTACGCCAAGCTGGTAGTCTTCAAATTCTTCGCTTGTTTCACTCTCACCATCCTTCTTTGCGGGGAAGATATCCTCAATCCCTCGCGCTGGCCACCATAAATCCAGCGAGCCGCGCTCAACCAGATATAGGGCTTCTTCCGGCAGTAACCACGTCTTCAGCGCTCCAGGGGTCTGCTTGTACGCTTCAAAACCAGGACCCGTAACAACACGTCCCGTATTCTGTCCAAGTGGTCCTTTAAGATCGCCCTCCACGACCACAACACGTTCCCTCGCAAACAGTCTCGCCCCCTTCTCAATCTCTCGCTCCTCCTCGCGCGGCGCATCAGCCCACTTGTCGGGGAAATACCAACCACGATTACAATCTTTAGCCCGGTGTGTGCGAGTGTAGCTGAGGACTTCGTGCATAGCAGCACGGCTAGCCTCGAGCGCACCCTCCTGGGCGCGCGTTCCATGCGACTCGAAATCCTTCTCGCCGCGCCGCAATGTCTTGCCAGATACGCCCTTCTTGTCAAAGAGCGAGTTGAAGAGCCTGAAATCTTGCGTCTCATCCGCAAGGGCGTCCTCGTCCGCACCTTGCTCCCCGGATATAGGCCCTAAGCCCGAGGGGGGCACGAGATCCTCGTCGTCGAACGGCATCCTTCTAGATATTGGTATGATGAGTCAAACTCTGTGGGGTCAAAGCTTATGTGATAGTACAAGTAAAGATGATTGTCACATGTCAAACTCAATACCTCGTATATCATCTGTGTAGAAGAAGGGAGCTATTGCGACTCGGGACTCCGAAAGTCCAGTCTTCTAATTTCAATTAATTGAGCCTCAGGTAAGGCCAGGAAGGGTCTAATGCTGTTCTTTGAGCTTTAGGTAGACTCGCACAATTTGCAGCTACTAAATCAGTGCAAGCAAGTAGCCAATCAGCACAACGTCCGACAAACTCCGGTCCTGTAAAGGGAGAGCCCTTCCCGATTAGGTAAGGCGTTAGACTAAGTGCCCCATGTGCGAATAAGTGAGGAATATTACTGTAATATACTGTACGCACAGCTCTTGGTGATTTGTTCACCGTGCTATTTTTGACTTTCTCACACATGGAGCACTTAGTCTGGCGCTATTCTATCTTGGCATATCGCACACTCATGATTGGGTTGCTTTATCGCTTGGTGCGTTCTAGGGCTTGTACCATCCACTCTTTATTATACTTATAAAGCACAATAAGCGGTCAGATTTTTCAAGAACGGGAATCTATTCCCCCAACAATGGGAGTTTGGCCGAGTGGTTAAGGCGCTGTGTTTAGGTCTCTTGTCTTCCAACGAAGATCTTGAACTTGTTTCCGCAGTGGGAAACCGCGCAGGTTCGAATCCTGCAGCTCTCATCACCTTTTTGATGTTTTGCAGGCTATTAGAAATGACAAGCACCAAGCAAGCACTTAAATATTACCAAAAATTCGGCATAACGCTGAAGATCTTGAAATTGGACATTTTCAAAACCTCATGTTGGGGAGCACGTGACCACATATATACGTACGTACGCTATCTTCCTGACAATGGTGGAAGGTACACCAGACGGGATAGTGCGAGAACTTAGAACCTTTTTTTTTAATACGATGTCAAATACAGCTTCAATAACCATGCCCTTTTCTTCATCTACGCCAATGGCAGGATGCGCGCTAATGCATATGGTGTGCTGGCACCTTTGGCCAACGGCAACGATGGACGAAGTGAAGGGCCAGTGTACGAATTCGATCCTCCTTTTGATCGCGACCGTAGCCGCGTTGACGTAATGAGGCCGAGGGCGAGAGTGATCGAGATAGAAGGTTAGGTACCCGACGACCCCATGGATGCAGCCAAACGCGCTGCGATGAGCCTGAAGGACCGTGTGACACGTCCGACTTCGTCTTCATGGGCATTGCCTACACGTCGTTCGCGATGGGAAACAGGGTCTCCACGATGGCTCAGGTCAAGACATCCAGAGGCTAACTAGAAGGTCATTGCGACGTTTGGCTTCTACCAGGACCGCTTCCGCCCAGATCAACGTCCTTCTCATCGCCCTCACATTCGCTCCTCGCCATCGGAGCTCACTGCACTTAATCACGTACGGGAATCATGATTTTGCAGATGGGAGAAGAATACAGTTTACCTCTCGGCTACGTTGAGTTATGAAGGTTCTCAGTGCATGTGGCTAAGGCATTTCATCCGGAGCATTTATAGTCGCTATGTAGCCAATACGCCAAATCCGTCATATCCAATCGCATATCTGTTGAACTTCCGGTAGGCGATATAGGTACGAAAAGATGCGATATCACAGTATAGCTACCTAGGTAGGTAGACACACTCATAGCGGGGTATATACATGAAATGAAAGTTATCGCAACGAGTATTACTTGTGAGCATCGCTAGGTACCAATTGCGCACCTATTGGTATATACCTACCTAATACAACAGCAAACCATCAACTATATCGCATGGTTTCCCCATATCAATGGTATCAACAATCATTTTAGCATTGACCTATGGATGCGTAAGCTACATATTTGCCGAGTTGCTCAAGCCGACCCGACAAGACTTTTTCCAATTGCCAGCGCGATGAATGGCGGTATACCTACCAACAACATACACCGAAGTACTTCTCATGATAGACCACATTGTTGTACTTTCTTCTCAATCATATGTGCGCGCCTGTCCTAAATAGCAGTCGTACAAGAGGTGCAACATATGTACACATAAATACAATTCCGACTCTACAACACCTTGCAGATTGCAGCAACTCCTTAAATGGCCAACTTGCCAGCCTGCAATATACGCTCACTGAAGTTGTCCTCCTGGGCTTAGGCGACTGTCGGAGTGAATGTTGATCCATCGGCAGAGAACATATGGCAATGTTCCACGCTCGTCAATATAGGCGGGAAGAAGGTAAAGTTGAGAACGCCTGACAACCAAATTCACCTAAAAACTCCCCGAATACGATGCGCTGGTATCTGTTCTCCGATCTCGTACCACCCTTTGGGAATGATTCGCAACCATAACGCCGTAAAGTCCGTCACGACGGTATTCATGCCCGTCAAATACAAAACTATTTCCTCCGAACCCGCGGGTCCGTGAACTCCAATGCTTGCATCCTATTCCTGGGAAGCCCCCGGTGATTATGATTATTTAAAAAATCCTACCCATGTAGGAGCTACTTATCTACATAGGCAACCGGGAGGATCGAGGGTCGTCTCGTATCGTTGTATCGCTAGAAAGTCGCAATCGGTAGGGAGTAATTCCAAGGCCTCTCCTCCTCTTAAGTAGCTCTACTATCAGCAGCCGGCTTCAAGTCACTATGTGTCAGCCTAGCATACTACTCCTTTTATGATAGCAGTGCTTCGAACCTCACTCGGACTGGTTTGGGCTAATGCGGCAATGAAGATCGTATGATCCTTCGTATGCACGGATGATCTTAGGCAAGACCAATAGTCGAATGCCAAAGCTGATGAAACAGCTGAGCGTACGATTCGGTTCGACATAAGAAGCCGTGATGCCTCAAATAAAGTGTCGAAAAGAACGTGGGTAGGTTGTCCCGCCCTTCTTAGACCATGAAGGCGGTGTTCTCATTCGATTAACGGCTTCTTCTGGCCTCCTACAAGGCAAAGCCCTAATGTCGCTAGAGCATTATGGTCATTCTCTAGTACAATACTTCTTGCTGGTAGCATTGGATTATTCGGATCGATGGATGAGGCATCTTTTGCTGCTTGCTCGATAGCATCCATTTCTTCTTTACACGCTTGATGGTCTAATGGGCATATGACGATGGGCTGTCGAAGAGTAATATCGCGAGCTGATGTTAATTGCGCCTATGATTCACAAATTGTTAGTCATGGTCTCCAAATGCTCTCATTTGCTATTCTAGTCGTATTCGCATGTACGTACCTTGATGCTGAGGTAGAACTCAATTTTGTACAGTGTAGATGTCGTGGTAAACGATGTGACCTCGTAATTTGGAAATGCTGGTTGCCCCCTTCGAATAACCCCATTTGCGTCTCTTAAATCCTTGTGAGGAAAGATGATGCCCATATTTGTCATATATCCTTCCTCAGGTAATTTAACCCCGATGTTTTGGGTATGCTTTTGTAATCTGTTTATTTTCTTGGTCGGCTCGTCTCCTTCGGGATTGTATGTGATCTCCTCCTCGATTGCGAGCGTTAGCTTTTGTATGGTAACCTTCCTCGCCTTGTTCATCCAATCTAGATTTGGTGCCAGCTTAATATATACCGTGATCGGATCCATAGGTCCGTAGCTCCATCTCGGAAGGGATATGCCGAGCGTCACTATGTTGTCGGCGGTCGCCATTTTCTGTTCAGGTCGGTTGTACATTCCAAAGGTCGATAATGTGTCATATCGCTGCAATGGTACGGGGAATGCGTATTTGTTTTGCACGCTCTGTCCTTGCTGTACGGTTACCACCAGTTCATAATATGTCTCTGCGGTCCTACTCGGAAGTTGTAATGATGCTGGCGGTATTCTTCTGTTTGTCTCTTCGCCGCCTCGTCCATATGGGATGAACAAGACAAATGGTAGATCCATCGCCATGACTTTCTCCGCTTCCCTTCCTGTTTGGCACCGGTATAATAGGAGTTCTTTTCCAACAACATCGGTAGTATCACGTCGAGGCGTTCCGAGGTGGCGCTTGGCTACGTTTTCGGCGGCTGGATGAATTGTTTCCCTCCTCTGCAGACATATTCGAACTAGTGATATAGCGACGGGAGCGGAATACCCTGACGACGGCCTAATTTCAACTTTTCCTTCGATGCGCGGCTACGTACGTTCGTTAGTCGGGTTAGGCTACTGGGTTGGGGCATCGCACGGCTCTTGAGATTCGGTAGCCGGCGTCACACACCCCACATTGAGGACGGCGGAAACAATAGATAAATACAAGACGGGACTAAGTGCGAACTTACCAATGTCGCCGAAATCCCAGGGTACCCAACTAAAAAACTACTATTCGGAGGACCAGAAACCCGGACGAAAGCTCGTACTTGTTCTGCCATCTTCTTCGCGCACCTGGTCCGACTAGTAGTAGGAGAAAAGACGAAGGTACAACGTCGGCTGGGCGCATCTATTCCTCATCGACGGCTGCGAGCCGACACCTTCATGCGAAATGCGATCTTTGAGCGGTTCGGAGTAGAATATAGAGGGCATTACATTTCAGATTCTTGCCGTTGCAATGATTGCGCCCAAGTTCAAGCGAGTATATTCTGAGACTAATGTTGAGGTGCTATCGTCTAGGATAATGGCGACCGGTGTTGCCTATCGAGGAAATTGAGGGCGAAGGGTTGCAAAAGGCGGGACGTAGCAATTGGTCTTGGTTGCTGATGGAGACGGTGGCTGAGGTAAGGTAGGGACGCGAAGTCAACTGGCGGTAGGGTCACAGCCTGCCCGCTTTCGCAAGAGTTGGTCGGTGAATGATAGCGGAAGCAGACCGCAGACCGTAAACTGTAAACTGTATTATGGACTCGGAACGTTGAAGTTGGCAGGTTTGAAGCTCCACAGCTTAAGATCTTAAGACCTAAGGTACCTAAGTAGGTAGGTAACTTCCAAACCAATACGCGCAGATAATGGGAAACCGAGAAGGTCCAACGTAGAGGGGGAATTAAGGTTCTAGGCGACATTCGCTTGTGGATCTAGGCGGTTTACATTGAATGAGGACGTATGGATGTATTTTCCCTGGGAACGCTGTCAACCCCACACAAGTCGTATGCGGACAAACCGGGGGTTTCTTCCTGTTATTAAAAATTTGGGTAACAAAACGGGTAGGAGACAAAACTCCAAGAGCCGGAAGTGATAGAAGATAGGAAATCTGACAGGAACCACCTGCCCCCAAAGTTTGAAGAGCTGAATGGGGAAATTGACAACTGCAATACGTCTATGGATAGGAGCACGAGAATTTGGGGAAACTTCCACAAAATCTAAATTTTGAAGCCAATAGACGGCCATTCCGATTCGGGCGGTTAGGTACAGTGGAGTTACTACCTTCAATGTTACCTACAGCGATACATGTACCTAAAGAGGTACTAGAAATACATCCCATTCCAGGTACATCTAGCTAACGAATTATGAATAAATATAACGAATAATCACCCAATCTGATTCAGAACCAAGTATAGATGTCTAATCATTCTAATTGTCTTATTTATGCAAATCATATTATTCGATCCTTCGATTCGATGATATTTTCAATTTTACCTCAATGATATAAGCAACTGTAAACTATGTTTCCAGTCAATGACGACAAAGGTATACTAATAACGGCGATTATGCCCTAGCTCAACGTCACCGTACCATAACTGCCGCTAGGGCGATCTGTCATTGCAACGCGGCATACAAAGCAGGTGAGGTG